ACATTTTATTTAAGGCATTTGAGCACCCATGGATTTTGGTATCCTCAGGGAGTCCTGGAACCAATCCCTGACAGATTTCAAGGGACAACTTGATGATTCACTTATAAATAACTATATAAGACAGATATTAGTATATGATAACATAATTGAATATTTTAGAAATCTGAGATGATTTCTTTAAAGCACCTTGAAGGAAAAGTCACATAAATGCAGTATATACTATGTCATTGCTGTTTCATCATCTTTTGTTCCCTTAATTTAGTCAAATTTCCCTCACTGATATGTATTTAACACTTCTTTTTTATGGCATTTATTGGTTTCACTTTTTAAAAATTTTTTTTTTATTTTAAAGATATGGGGTACAATTCAGGATTGTCCCACTTTCCTAACTAACATTTTTGACAGTAAATTTTCAAATATGTCCATAATCAATTTTTTAAAAAGTAAGCTTTCTGCATTTAAAAAAAAAGATTTTAAAATCTGAAACCAACAAACTCTGTAAATTACCATTTGAAGATGAAGCTTTCTGTTTTTCCTCATATTTTAACTAGCAAAAGATCTAGAGGGTTTTGGATATTTACTTCCTTTCTAATAAAAAATAAAAGAAGTATTCTTAAAGTAATAGTTTTACATTTGAAGTTCAGCCTGTTTTTTTCATAAAATATTAAATAGCTAAACCGATAATGCCTACATATTACTTTTCTTTTAGTTTGAGGAGAAACTGCTTTATGTGGTTTGACACCTCACATACTCTGAGGTTAAGAAGTTAGCATTATCTGAGAAGTTGCTATTTTTAGGTCCAGCTGTAATGTTTCTAACTTTGGCACTCAGAGTAGTGGGTGCTTCCTTTCCCAGAAGGCTCTGTATTCTCAACTTGTGCAGGTCGATTTGACATAAAGCTACCTACAAGGAGCAACAGGCCCATTGCAGGCTGTGTTTCGGACTTGAAAATTATGAGCAGGTATTGGGAGCCACAGACTGTATTTGGGAACCAACTGCATGTCAGGACAAGCATGGATTGTGGTCCCTGGAGGCTGGGAGAGCACAATGCTTGAATTTCATTTCTTTGGGAGATAAGAAGAAAAAAATACCTTTCTACCTGACAAGATTGACCCTTTCCTAAATCTGATCATCTTCAGAAGTGTGCTGGACAGTTGAGAAGTAAACATTCACTTTTCAGAGATGATGATCAAGGAAACATCTCTACGAAGGGACCCGGATTTAAGGGGAGAGTTAGCTTTCCTGGCAAGGGGCTGTGATTTTGTTCTCCCTTCACGGTTCAAGAAGCGGCTGAAGTCATTTCAGCAGACGCAGGTTTGAAACTTGGGTGTTTCTCTTAAAATGCTTCTATTACTAATAAACCACCCAGGGAACTAACACACAAATGATTTTACAGCTCACTTGTATCTTGATATTAGATCAAGGAATTAATCTGTGTTCTCTATTCAGCTATTTGCAGAAAGCTATTTGTAGAGGGATTCCAACAGGTTTAAAAATAGAGCTGCTGGGCCTGGAGTACAGTACTCACATTTTTATCTTGTCGAGAGAGAATCCAGTTTTAGATACAAAATGGAACTTAACAGTTTCCAGCTTACCCAGAAAAATACTAGAATATCCTTGGGAAACTAGAGTTTTTATGCTAAAAGCTTTGTTTGCACTTTGAATTAGTAGACTATGTATTAAGACATATGTATGTTAATATATGGTCTACTGATTTGATTGTCATTACAACTGTAACTGTTAAAAATAATATTAATCTTGGTATTCTTTTTTAAGCAGAAGTATTTTTATATAGAGACAATGTGTATGTGTCATACAATGTATGTATATAGATAACAAAGGATGGCAGTTACTTCTAGATTGTGCAAAATGTCTTCCCTAAGCAAGCTGTGAGATTGAGTCATTTCTGTTGGTGATGATTACTTTGCAGAGTCCCTGTTTTCTTGCTTACAGTTTATGGTAGTGTCTCACCAAACAAGTTGCCTAATACTGAGTGCAATATAAGTCAAGGACTGTGCAAATGTCGGCCATTCAAAATCTCTGCAAGAAATCATAGTATCATGGTTATTCCGACCCAGAATAATCTCAAATTACTTGAGTGAAATATGAAATTGCTTTTTTTTTGTAGGCCAAAAATGGTCAAATGTTGGAAGTGCTCTAGTAACATAGTTACTGTTCAGAATGAATATCGAAGTGATACTGTGTTTACAGGGAAAGACTGAAATGGAGAATTGAGATACTTTATCCAGCTAATTCAATTTTAATGGTGCTCCTAGATTGGATTCACACTGCTTTATTCAAAGTGAGCAGATGCTAAACTTGCGAGTAAATGTGGCAAAATTTGTATTACTAGGTTTTATATGTAACATTTGTAAAGGGTCAGTTTTATTAAACTACTTTAAGGTTTAAATTGCGTATCTCCTATAGAACTCAATGGAAAGTAAACTGATATAGCCAAAAGCTCATCAAGAATGCAATAAGTACATTCTTCTAATGTTATTGTCCTCTTAGCAAACATTAGTTTTGCTAAGTATGGAATTAACCAATGAATTCATAAATACTTGACTATCCGTGAATTGCTCTATGTGAAGAAGTACACCAAGAAAAACCAAATATTATGTAATCGAATATTTCCCCATTCAAATAAAAACTTTGGCAGATAGCCATTGTTTGTTTTGAATGTCACTTATTTCTGACAAAGCAGAAGCATGGAGTTAACATTGAAGACCTTGCTCTAAACCTTCCCCACTAGCTTGTGTTCACAAGACTCTCAGGTTTCATCCCCACTGGCACCAGTGGTCTTAATCCTATGGGCATAACTGCCCTGAAATTATCTAAACTGTCCTGGATGTCACATCATGGAAAACATTATGGGGAAGAAGGAGAAAAAAAAAAAGAATTTTGATGACTGTACACTTAGTCTTTCAAATCTCTTTTTGCATAGAATAATGGAAAATAAATGACCTAGGTGAAGGACCCTGAAGAGTTCTGTGTCTTATTTTAGAATTTTAAAATACTTTAAAGAATAACAATAATGGTTATTGACTCATGGGACTATGTGATATTTGCAGATTTAGAGTTGTCAGACATGTTAACTTAAAATTGGTGATCAATTTGTTAATCAGAAGTGGTTTGTAAACTTTAAATTGCTTCACAATTGTAAGTGACTATTTAATTTATTATTATTATTGAATCTGAAGTATCATGCCAAATTATGATTAATGTACTCTTTTGAGAACCTCACCCTTTGGCCTTATCACTCATTTCCTACATGAAGACAGATCTGTGCCCAGCACTGTTCTGAACCTTTTACCCTGTGTTGCATCCTATAGAGTCCTTCAGTCCTCACAGTAGCCTTCCAAGATGTAGGGGCTGTAATTTGTTTTATTACTGAAATTCTAAAAGGTTAAGTGATTTTCCTGAAGTCACAGACTAGTAAACCATCACTGTTTTCTGTCAAGTTTTTTCATGTTTCATTGGCATCATTTTCCTCTGTGCTGTTTATTCCCTGGCTGTTGCTTTCTGTGGGTGACGTTCTGAAACTGCACCAAAGGCTTGGTGTGGCAGCTGTCCTTTGTGTTCCTAAATAGTGTTGATATAAGGGCAGACTCCACTCTGTGTGTTAACATGAAATATTAACACATGGGAAATGGACTATTGAAACAAAAGTAGGAGATTTAACCTTTTCCATCACATATTTATGTGAATGAAGCTTATTTCCCTATAAAACATGCTTTTTAAGGGTAGCTAAGATTTTTATCCTGAATTTAAAAATCATATTATAAGCCTGTATGTTAAGAGGAAATACGATATTCAGATCTACTTGTTACAGATAAATCATTGTTTAAACTTTAACATTGGCATTAGGATAATTTAAGGAAGAAGAACGTTTGAGTAATACTTTGTATCCACAGTGAATATAAAATACATTTAGCTAGTTGACAGTCATGTGCATCTTTCATACTTTATGTAGCATCTAATACAATGCCATACACATGAGCCTTGATAGATACTTTGGTAATTAATTAGGAGTAGAAATTAGAACTATGAAAATTATTCATGGAATCTTTTTAAATTTTTCTGCTGGGAATCTCAGAATTAAATTTAGTCTTCATTAGTGAAATTAACTCCTATTTGAATGATGATGTACATCCTTTCCCCTTGTCCTCAATCTCAATCTCTGTGTTGCCTCTCCTCACTTTTTACTGTCCTTTCAAACGTCTCTTTATGGTATGCCACATCAGATTCTTTTTGGGAAAAGGAAGAATGTAAACTATAAATGGGTTAATAAACTATAAAGGGAGTTTGGTTTGATGAAATTAATGACCTTGGTCCTTGCCTATTAGAACATATCAAAAATGAGATAAATGTGTGTCTTGGAAAAATGGTGTGCCCTAGTGGCAGGTAAGTCAGCCTTATAGAGAACATTCCAGAACTAAAATGCTTTAGTTCTTAACAAAGATTTTCGAGCATCAGGGGTTGGCAGTGATTCTACTTCGGCAAAGTCAAACTAGAGAAGAAGGTGAAAGGAAAAGGAACCCCTGCCCCAAATATGTTTTATATATGTATATTTTTAAAGAACCTGTTTCTGCCTGCTGAAGGAGAGGTAGAAATTCACAAAAAGACCAAGAACAGTCTTCAAAAAGAATTTATTAATCCATTTCCAACAGACTGAGAATACTCGTCAAGATCTTTAATACATCAGCTGACATTATTCTTTAATTCTTTTGAAATGTTTGCCAAGTGATTGTTGGGAAAATGTACTCCAGTATGTTTTAAACATAAATCTATGCAAACTTGAATGTTGACAGATATTACTATATTAATTGGTCTAGTATGAGTAAGCATTCTCTAAAAATATGCTTGCTACCCTCTAGAGTAGAGTGAGCCCTTGATCTCTATCTCTAATTGTGATTTCTTATACTTCCTGTCATTAGTAAGGATTCTTGAGAAATGGGTACCGTGAATTTTTGTGTCTCACAATCTCATTTTCTTTTTAGATTCAAAGTAAACCAGAAAAGAAACCTGGAACACCACTTCCACCACCAGCCACCCTTCCAAGTAGTCCCCCACCTCTCTCCCCAGTTCCTCACGTGAATAATGTTGTGAATGCACCATTGTCCATAAACATTCCACGGTTCTACTTTCCTGAAGGACTCCCAGATACCTGCAGTAACCATGAACAGATTCTAAGCAGAATTGAAACTGCTTTCATGGACATTGAAGATCAGAAAGCAGACATTTATGAAATGGGGAAAATTGCAAAGGTAATATAGCTACTAAATGGTTTATAATCTTCCTTTCTCTTGCAACCCTAAATTCTCCGTCTTCACTGCATCTTTGCTCTCTGTTTTTAAGCATGTGTAAGATTTTTTTCTATGTTGAAAAAATTTATAAGATCCTCATAAAATCTTTAGGTGTGGTCCTATTTCATGGAACTCTTAAGTTTTAAAAAAAAATTCCAACCTACCATTTAATCTAGGAATCCCTTCACCAGCTCATAAATTCATTCTTTTTGATGCTTTCAGTGACTGGAAGCTCACTACCTTGCTAAGCAGCCTGTTCCATTATTCAACAGCCTTGTTAGAAGATTTATCTTGTGCTGAATAGGAATCTCATTTTTTGTTTCACTCATTGATCATAACTCTGCCCTTAATGCCAGACAAGGAGCCACTAAAACGTCTCACACTGTCGTTTTGCCAGAAATAAATGGATTTGACACTAGAAAGCACACTTTTGATACTTTCTGACATATGCAACTGCTTCTGATTTAAGACCTTAACCCCTCGATGTCAGGACTGCTGTGACTAGATTCTGTACCTCCAACCTCCTCCCAGAACAGTGAATGCTGAGCGTGACCATCAGATTATATTGACCATGCCGTTCTCCAGGTTAGCAATGTTCAGGTACTCCCAGCCTCTGCAGCAGTGCTTTGTTTTGTTTGGGCTTTATTTTTATAATGCATGTATATCAAAGAGTCAGATCATACCTCATGATTTAGCCATGATTTCAGGCTGAGCTTCAAGAGGCAGAGGAGCTTAGCAGGCTACGGGCTACCTGGAGGCAAGCAGAAGATCCAGTGGAAGTGCCCGGGATGCTAACCATGCCTCCACTGGGAGGAGTTCTCCAGTAGTCAAGTTAAAAAGTTTGAAAACTGCCATTCTTCAGGATAAAACTCAAACTTATCTTCCTGGCGTTCCAGGACTTACACTGTCTGGCCCTGGAGTTCCTTTCCAAATCTGTCTAATACTGTTTCCTGTATGAGCCTGTCTCTCCTTTTCCCTCCCGGGAATACTTGTGCATGTGGGCGCTCAGAGCTCTCCTTTCGAGAGCGGCATCCACTCTTGCCAGCCCCATCACATCCCATCGTGTCATTTTGGAGAAGTCCTTGAAGCCCCACTTCAGTCATGCCCTTCCCTCTCCCCTACCTCTGACCTCACAGAGCATTTGTCATTGCTATTAACTGATTTGTAAGCAGAGTGATTGTAAAGGAAATGAAAAGGAATTCTTTTCTTCTGTCTTTTTTTCATCTCCCCTTCTTAAAAATTGCTTGTTGATTTCTTAGATAGTTGTAATTTTAAAAAATACTCTTTCATTCCAGAAATAAGAATGTGTCTTATTTCATTCCATTTTACTTATGAGGGAACTACAGTCCCATGAGGACTTACCTGCAATCCCAGAACTAGTTTGTCGGGAGACAATTCCTCTAACCTCTAGTGTGGTGCTCTTTCTTCATGTGCTGTATCCCTGAACATATACTGACATTAGCCAACTTCTACTCACCTGCCATCTAAATTAATTACAGGTCATTCAGGGCATTCTGGGCACAGCTACCACAGTACAGAGGTGGGAGGGCCAGACCAGTAGTGACGTGAAGGCAGAGTGGTAGGAAGGCACTGGGAGAATGGGCTCCTCAGTCAGGGGCTGGGAATAGTTGGAGGAATATACACAATTCTTTGAGAGGTGGCTGTTGCATTAGATAACAGAACCAAGACACCAAGATGGTAAACTAAATTCTCTGAATGGACCGGGACTATGGATATAAATCTGAAAGATAAAATTTGGCAAGGATGAATGCAGTCTGCATTTGGAGGTTACATGGTAACTGCATACATGCCAGCAGGGTATTTCTAACATGGGAACGTGTGTGAAAGAGGCAGGAGGTTTCATGGATTACATCAAGTTGGCAGACAAAGAGAAACTGTCCAGATTAAGATATAGTAGTTCCCTTGTGTGGTTCTGAGCTCACCATGTCTGGAGAGCCCATCCAGGTGATTAGTCTATCAGAGACCTACAGCCTACCCTGTCATAAATATAAGTCCACAGGGCGACCGTCTTCCTCCAAATATTCCAGTACCTGACTGAGGAGCCCATTCTCCCTGGCCTTCACGTCACTCCTGGTCTGGCCCTCCCACCCCCGTATTGCGGTAGCTGTGCCCTGCTCCATGGTTCAGTGGCCCTCTAGCACTCCACAGATTCAGTGAGAGGAGAGCAGAACTTCTAATGACACCATCTCTGGATGGTGGGGAGCCAGAGGAAGGAGTTTGCCATTTATGTGCAGTGAGGATCAGTCTGTGCGTGGCATCAGAAAAAAAATCAGTGTTGAAGCTGACAACATGGAGACCGTTTTAAAAGATAGAAAACGTATTTGTTTAGCTGTAGTAACAGTCATTTACCTAACAGTTTACTGTTTATACCTAATAATCATGTGGCACAATAGCCATTATATGTATAGATATCTGATTAACTTGTCTGAATTATGCTTGATTATAGCCCTAAATCCCATTCATGGGCACCAAGCCTTGTGCTCATTGCTCTTAGATCTTAATTGTCAGCTCAGGTAGCAAGGTAAACTACCCATACCTTTAAAAAGTGAAAACTAACATTGCAAATAAAGATGAGACTGTGTATATAATGACCTTAAAAGATAGCATAAATGTGTCGGTTTGTATTATTTTGTTTCCGATTACTGTATGAGCTCATTTTATGGGATTTTGCCTCTTTATTCTTATGACCATTTATTTTAAAAATTGGTTTAGGCCGGGCTTGGTGGCTCACGCCTATAATCCCAGCACTTTGGGAGGCCAAGATGAGAGGATTATCTGAGTCCACGGGTTTGAGACCAGCCTGGGCAAGTTGGCGAGATCTCATCTCTACAGTTTAAAAAAAAAAGCCAGGCTCGGTGGCTCAGCCTGTAATCCCACGCCTTTGGGGGGCTGAGGTGAGTGGATTGCCTGAGCCCGCGGGTCCAAGACCCGCCTAGGTAGCGAGACCTCATCTCTACAATCAATCAAAAAATCAGCCGGGCGTGGTAGCGCACGCCTGTAATTCCGGCTACTCGGAAGGCTGAGGCAGAAAGATCGCCGGAGCCCAGCAGGTCAAGGCTGCGGTGGCCGGGAGCGGCCACTGCACTCCAGTCTGGGTGACAGAGTGAGACTCCAACTCAAAAAAAAAAAAAATTCACCAGGTGTGTTGGTGCATGCCTGTAGTTCTAGATACTTGGAAGGCTGAGGTAGAAGGATTGCCTGAGCCCAGCAGGTCAAGGCTGCCACTTGCACTCCAGCCTGGACGACAGAGTGAGACTCTGACTCAAAAAAAAAAAAATTGGCTTAATCATGTCTTCAGCCAGCTAGTTCCCTTTGACCCAGCTTTTACTTGACTGTTGCAGTCCGTTAGTACTTACTAAAGTCATCCTCATTTTCAGCATTTCTTTACTATGCAAGTCTTTTTTGGCAGTGGACAGTGGACTCTGTGTCTCCAGCATTAACTGTTCATATTCTTACGACAGATTAGCATAGGGAAAGAAAAGAGGCAACCATTAAGAGACAAGGGGAAGAGAGCTTGTCAGAACAATAAATGAATGTTTGTATGGATTCTTGTAGTGCATAGAACTATTTGGAAGACTAGCTTAAGTTTGCAACCTACTCTTGGTGGTGCTTAAGTGTAGCTATAACGACTAGGCTCGGTTTTGTTTTGTTTTGTTTTTGTTTTTGAGTCAAAGTCTCACTCTGTCACCCAGGCTGGAGTGCAGTGGCACAATCACAGCTCACTGTAGCCTTGACCTCCTGAGTTCAAGTGACCCTTCTAACTCAGCCTCCCAAGTAGCTGGGACTACAGGCACGTGCCACCACATCTGGCTAACTTTTTAATTTTTTTGTAGAGACAAGGTCTTGCTATGTTGCCTAGACTGGTCTGGGATCTGTTTTTTAGGTACAGAGAAAGCACTGTTTATAAAGTCTGCATCTGTTGGTGAAGTTTAGCTCATTCATCTTAGACTTCAAACAGCCCTGGAGAGCCAAATACCTATATCTGGTTAAATTATCAGTGCACAGTTGGTACTTCTTCCACAGCTTTAAGTGATAATAAGGAAGAAATGAATAGAGAATGAATCTGAGGGGGACAAGAGCAGTGTAGGAACAGAAATTGAGCAGCAGTAAGAAACGCATTTGTCAGAGACTGGTCCAGAGGACTCATCATGGAATTTTGCCCTCTACCACAAAGTTGAGGAAAAAGAATAAATCTCTCTTTTGAACCATGTAGATCCCTCCAGCTCCTCTCTTCTGGCTGATACAGCACTCTCTTGACCCATCCTGCCTGTGGCCTATAAGGTAGCCTTTCTGTACTTGAGTTTCTTCATCTGTGAAAAAGAATAAAAATATCTGCCCTCATCTGCACGGGGATCATGTCAGGGCCAGATAAAGTAATAGGTATGAGAAATTTTTAAATGTTGAAAGAACATTACAGATATGAGATAATCATCCCCTCCTGTGTGTATCATTAGACCACCTTACTTTTAATTCTTCATGTTGTTGGGCCATTCTTAGATCAAATTATAGGTATTAATCAAGTTTTCTTTGCTTCAGCCACTTTGATAACCATATGCTGCCTCTTGCCTACTCCTCTAAGCATGTTTCCTAAACCCATTTTCTATATCTCCTTGTATGTCCCCCTTGTCATGAGAAAAATAAAAAGTCTTCATACTGACTTGTTCTCTCCTCTGTTAGTCAAAGTACTATCCTATTGCCTTCAGATTAATATCGTTTATTTTTTAGTTCTTACTGATCTCCTGGCTCCCTTTTCTTAAGTCTTTGGTTTTTAAGCAACTTTAGGCCAGCTTTACATTTTTAAAAAAGTCAAACTGCGTAATGTCCACAGCCCTTGCCAGTCACTGCCTTTCCTTTTTTTCCCGTTGGCATTTTTCCAAGGGCCCTGATACCCTCTTGTTGCTTAACACTTGGCTACTCAGAGTATCCCACGAAGAGAAAAACAGACTGATCTTTTCTAATCTACTTTAAAACATTTTTCTCTACCTTATTTCTTAGGATTTTGCCTTTGGGTCATAATAAGTTTATAAGTTTTAATCTCACAGTGACTTGCATTTTATGAGTGTGTACACTTTGATAGGAATTTCTGGAGAAAAGCCCTTAATCCAGGGAATGAAAGTTGTTTTCATATTGGAAGTTTACCCCACAGGAAGTGGTAAGCACACAGCCCGGAAGTGTTTCAGCTGAGGCTGGTGACCACTCCCAAGGCTTAGCTAAAAGATTGAACCTGATCCCTTCCAGCTGTGATTCATGAGTGAGTCTGATGGTGGGAGTTTTAAGCGCCTTGGCAAGTCAGTTCCAGACTCTCCGGTACTTTGTCTGTGTCTCCCTCACCCTCATAATAGACTATTCTTTTCTAGCAGTTGTCAGTAGCCTATCACTAAACCTGTCTAAGAACATTTTCTTGGCAAACCACCATTCTGCTTGAAAGGAGTGATTGGGATTGGGGAAAGTGTATTTGATAGTTCACATACCCAAAGTATATTAATTGTGAGCCTTGTACCTTGGCAATCATAATTTAAACAGTAAACAAAAAAAATCACACGGTTGCTAGGCAACACCTCTCCCTCATTCTTGACCTCAGCAGAGGTATTTGACCTCTGGACCTAAGAAATCTTAAATTCTACTCTGCTTGCAGACGTGCTTTAGTGGTCCTGGCAGTGGCAGCCTCTTATTTTTGCCCTGTTCTTACCTCCCTTGGCTTGAGTCTTGCCTTCCCTATCTTCAGCTCTGGCGTGAACCCAGCAGCCTTAGACTTTCTCTCAGGAGCTAGTGTCAGACTAGGCACTCTTCAAGGTTCTGTGGGTATCCCCTGTGCACTGAGGCCTTCCACCAGGAGCGGTGTCACCAAAACCTAGTGTGGATATACATCGTCTGCCTCCAAAGGACACTTTTCCCCATGTCTAATCATGTTCCCCCAGCAGATCATGTATCTAATATGAATAATAATATCTTGTCACAAGATGTGACTTTTTGAAGGGTTCTGGATTTGGAAATATGTTTTCTTTATATGTACAAAATTGGGAAGACATGGCGACTATTTCTCTCCTAATATTCAGATGGCATTATTACTTATAGAGAAAAATTTTTCCTCTGGAAAAAAACAAGTAAATCTAGTAAGAACTCTTTCTTATGAGAGTAGAAGGACAATATTTTTATAATTGAAAAGAAGAACTTTTTTTTTGAGTTGGAGTCTCACTCTGTCGCCCAGACTGGAGTGCAGTGGCCGCTCCCGGCCACCACAGCCTCGACCTGCTGGGCTCTGGCTATCCTTCCGCCTCAGCCTTCCAAGTAGCTGGAACTACAGGCGCGCGCCACCACACCTGGCTGATTTTTTGATTTATTGTAGAGATGAGGTCTCGCCAAGTTGCCCAGGCGGGTCTCGAACCCACGGGCTCAGGCATTCCACTCACCTCAGCCTCCCAAGGCACAGGATTACAGGCTGAGCCACCGAGCCCGGCTAAAAAGAAGAACTTTTATTGAGGAAAAAAATCAATAACTTTCAAGATAGTGAAGATGTTTTATATTTACCCAGTTTTTCCTAAGGCTTTTTTAGTCATTTGTGGTAGTTTCTAATATAGCAACAAGTGATAGCATTTTGGTTCTTACCTTTCATCTTTTTGCCTGAATTATAACCACTTAAATATATTTGAAGCCAGAATCGGTGGCTCAGCTTGTAATCCCAGCACTTTGGGAGGCCGGGGCAAGCGAATTGCTTGAGCCCACGGGTTTGAGACTAGCCCGGGCAACTTGGCGAGCCCTCATCTCTACAATAAATCAAAAAAACTAGCCAGGCTGGTGGCGTGCGCCTGTTGTTCCAGCTACTTGGAAGACTGAGGGGGAAGGATTGCCAGACCAAGCAGGTCGACGCTGGGGTGGCCATGAGTGTGCCACTGCACTCTAGCCTGGGCGACAGAGTGAGATTCTGACTCAAAAAAACAGTGTATATATATATATATATATATATACACACACACATATATGTTTCATAGCTGTTTTCTTGAGCAGTCTAGGGGTTTCTGGTTCTTCTTGAACCTGAGACTTAATAACACAATAGATAAAGCCGGGCTCAGTGGCTCAGCCTGTAGTCCTGCACCTTTGGGAGGCTGAGGTGAGTAGATTGCCTGAGCCCGCGGGTTCGAGACCCGCCTGGGCAGCGAGACCTCATCTCTACAATAAAAATCAAAAAATCAGCCAGGCGTGGTAGCACACACCTGTAGTTCAGCTACTTGGAAGGCTGAGGCGGAAGGATCGCCAGAGCCCAGCAGGTCGAGGCTGCGGAGGCCAGGAGCAGCCACTGAACTCCAGTCTGGGCGACAGAGTAAGACTCCAACTCAAAATAATAATAACATAATAGATAAAAGAGAGAGGAGATAGGTAGTAGAGCGTATTAACACCAAATGACTGAGAAATAAACCTGACTGTATTTTTTCTGCTCAGAAAATGAGGAGATATATATGTACACACATACACACACATATAACATTCAGTCATTTTTTTATTTTTTATCTTCTAGAAGGTGGAAAATGCATGATGTAAGAATGGTAGGAAGGGATGCTGGTTATCAAAATTGCGGGGAGAAATCACTATAATAAATGAACTTGGAGAAAGTTTAACGGACTACCATTTTCTTCATTGAACGTGTAATCCTCTTATTTTCTCCCCCTCTCTCTAAATCTACCCAAGTTGATATATTTGCCTATAACCCAGTTTTGTTTCCCCAAGGGCCCTTCCAAACACTGTGGTATGAAGGATAAAAGCCACAGAGACCTCTTCTTTGGCAGTGTCATCTCTTTATGGCCTCTTGGCTTACTCTGTGTTTGTTTTTTGCTTGCAGGTCTGTGGCTGTCCTCTGTATTGGAAAGCGCCCATGTTCAGGGCTGCAGGAGGAGAGAAGACAGGATTTGTGCCAGCACAGTCATTCATTGCCATGTGGAGAAAGTAAGGATGTTAGCAGTCACTCTGGGTCTAGGCAGAGAATTGTGGCGTCCTGATACATGCTTCATAAAGGTCACCAATTTTACTATTTATTCATTTTCCCTTTACTCTATTTCAACAAGGAAAATTCAGTGATTCACAGCCATTTATGCCCACACACAAGCTCTTTGCCACAAACCTTTATCTTACATGTCTTTACAGTAAAGCAGATCTGCAGAAATACTTTAATAATAACTATTTGGTAGTTTCTTAGTTTTACTTCTTAAATTCGGGTCGCAAATTTGAATCTGGCAGTAGTGATATAAAAGTAAATAAAGACTCTTCTTTTCTTTTCTTATTTTTTGAATCAGATCTTGCTCTCTTCCTTAGGCTACAGTGCTGTGGCATGATCACTGCTGCTCACTGCAGTCTTGACCTTCTGGGCTCAGGTAGTCTTCCTACCTCAGCCTTCCGAGTAGCTGGAACTACAGGTGTATGCCACAATGTCTGGCTAATTTTTTGATTTTTTTGTACAGACGAGGTCTTGCTATGTTGCCTAGGCTGGTCTTGAACTCCTGGACTCAAGCAATCCTCCCACAAAGTACTGAGATTACGTGCATAAACCACCACACCCAGCCTTTTATTATTATTATTTTAAATCAACATGTAACAGATTCAGCTTAAAGATTTCTTCTAATCCCTTCATGCCACCTAAAAGCCCTTAATAGTACAATGCCTGAGAATAAATGATTAAATGGATTGTTTTAAAAAATCTAGCAAGTCAGGTTTTCCAAGTTCATCTTGCATTACATTAGAATTAAAGTGATCACGGTATATGTTGGTAGACAGATCAGCAGCAATAGCAGCCATCACCACCACAGCTGTATATTGTTATTGAGATGAATCATTTACAGTTTATCTCTAGGGAAAAGACACTTCTGCAAAAACTAAAAGGGGAAAAACATGTGAAGTACATATCTTCATTTTGGTTAACTCCTGGAAAACTGCTTATTAGGTTACATAGCACGAACAACTGTCCCTATCTTTTTTTTTTTCATTAAAAAAAACCTCTGTGAATAGATGTCTCTAAGTTAAAGCACTGTCTTTCCATCACTTACTAAAATGGTTTGAGTGCCCTCTAGTGGGAACTCCTCTTTGAACTCTTAAAGTGCCTTGTAAAAGTCAGGGCACTTTCAGGGAGACCCAAATATGGCTATTGGGAGACTACGAAGCTAAGCATGATGGTTTGAGTTACCATCATAAAGAAGATGTGTTTAGTTTTGTAATTTTTTTTACAAACTGTACCTTTGCATAAAGCAATTTGGGCTCAAGTATAGCATATGAAAATTTTCAGGCTGGGCACCATGGCTCACGCCTGTAATGCTAACACTTAAGTGGCCAAGGTGGGAGAATTGCTTAACCCAGGAGTTCATGACCAGCTTGGGCAACATAACAAGACTATGTCTCTATTATATATATAAAAAAAACTTTCAAGTACAAAAAATAACTGGCAGGCAGTGATACAGAATTAAAACATTTTGACTGTAATCCCAGCACTTTGGGAGACCGAGGTGAGGGAATTGCCTGAGCCCACGGGTTCAAGTACAGCCTGGGCAACTTGGCGCGACCTCATCTCTACAATAAATCAAAAAATTAGATGGGCGTGGTAGCATGCGCCTGTATTTCCAGCTTACTTGGAAGGCTGAGGCGGAAGCGTCACCTGAGCCCAGCGGGTTGATGCTGCGGTGGCCGTGAGCATGCCACTATACCCTAACCGAGGCGATGGAGTGAGACTCCAACTCAGAAAAAACAAACAAACATTTTGCATATGCATACTGACTTACTTCAATAACAAGCTTTACATCATCTTAAAACACAAAGTCAAATACAGAATTCGTAAGCATACAGGGAGATTATTTCCCTCATGTCCGAGTGCTCGTGGGTTGGAAGCTTCAGGATCTACTCTCCAAGGGGCTCTGCTCCCCATTTCCCTTCTCTGTGCTACTGCCATTTCATGTCTGTACTCTGACACGTTTTCCTTAAAGTCGGGACATTTCCAGGGGAGAGATGCTGCTCCATGGCTTTTTGTTTGAGGTCCTAGAGTACCAGCCTTGAGTAGAACTCCTCTCCAGGAGTGTCAGTAATATTGTTTCTGCTTTATTATGTTTAACTTTACTTTTGTCCATTAACAAAACGATATTTTGTCTTTGAACCTCTGGGGGTACCAGCTTAGAATAGCTATGCTTGTTTTTATTCCTCAACTTTCATGACTTTTATTACCTCCTTTCCTCCTGCCATACAGAGTTTACCAGCCAGTAGCATTAGCAGAAAGTTATAATTCACCTTTTCTTTCTATGTCTTTCTTTTTTTTTTTTTTTTTTTGAGTCAGAGTCTCACTCTGTCACCCAGGTTGGAGTGCAGTGGCACGATCATGGCTCACCACAACCTTGATTTCCTGGGCTCTGGCGACCCTTACACCTCAGCCTTTTGAGTAGCTGGGACTCAGGGGCTAATTTTTTGATTTTTTGTAGAGATGAAGTCTCACTATGTTGCCCAGGCTGATCTCAAACTCCTGGGCTCAAATAATACTCTTGCCTCAGCCTTCCAAAGTGCTAGGATTATAGGCATGAGCCATCACATCTGGCCTCCTTTCTGTTTTATAGCAAAAGCCATCCCCGATTTATCTTGTCCTCTCAGAGTAGCTCTCATCTGTCATATTTCTGCTGGTTTTTGTTGTTGTTGTTGTTGTTTTTAGTAGTGGCAGCCTTTAAAAAAAAGTGCCTATTCAAAGGCCTCACTGCATTTCTGTTGTGGTCATCCCACTCATTTTCTAATCCTGAGAAGCAGCTCCTATTAGCACGTTACACTTTTCTTTTTCTGAAACAGGTATTTTTTCACCTTCAGGGGCCTTGAGCATGTCGAGAGATTATAAGGAGAATGAATGTAAAAACCCTACTGTAATCTAATAATCACAAACGAAGTCATTTAAGTGTACATCTGTTAGGTCACAAACACTTTCATACTTTCCTTCCTTCATCATTGAATGCTATGTGCCAGGTGTTGTATCTGACCTTAGGATGCTTGGGATACAAGGAGAATAAGACGCAGTGTTATGTTCTGTATGGAGCTTACAGTCTAGTGAAAGAGTTACACCCATAAGATTATACTGCTGCAGAACCGCATGACAGAAATAAGAAGCACATGATGTCACGGAAGGAGGCCAGCAAGAGTCCCTGGAAAGTGAAGGGGAAAGGAAGGATGTCCAGGAAGGAGGGTAGCATGCACAAACGCCTCGAATGAACGTACGTGGGGCGTTGGGACTACAAGTGCAGGAATGGCAAGAGAAGGGCATGGGAGGAGATGGATCCAGTCCTGGAACCCCTTCTGTGCCGAGTCAGGAAGCTTGGACTTTAGCCTGCTCCACAGAATTTTAACTCAGACAGTGACTTGGTTAAGGGTGTCACTCAGAAATCTCAGGCAAGAAACAATGAGTGTCTAAGCATGGATACTGGCAGTGGAAGATGTGGAGAAAGGGGCAAATTTGGTAGAAATGAAGATATGTGGTAGTTACTAGGTGTAAGGTGAAGGAAAGAGGGGAGTCCATAATGACTCCCAGGCTTCTAGCTCGGACTGTTAGGTGGTGAAATGCAGGATGGGCGTACCGGACTCCTGAGGAATTTTTCCTCAAAATGTTTTAGACAACTTTCCCTTCCTTTTTATTTCTATTGTTCCATCAAATTCAGGACTGTATTACTTCATGCTGAGATCACTAGTAAGGAAGAGGGTCCTCATAGGCTTCAGTGTTCATGCAACCGTATGTCATAGACAACTCATTATTCTGAAGCATCCCTTAAGTACATAGTATCCTTGCTTGATTCTTGATCTCAGTGGCCTTCACATAAGACTGAGAGTACTGACTTTTGATGTTGTAGTCCTTATTTGTTCTGAGGAACCAGCCTTACCAAGCAGTTGTTTCTTCTATAGGTTGCTGAATAACCACCATGATGATGCCTCTAAATTCATCTGTCTTCTAGCAAAACCCAACTGTAGCTCTCTAGAACAAGAGGATTTCATCCCTTTACTTCAGGTAATTTTCATTTCATTTTGAAAATGAATTCTGTTTTTGGAGTTTCAAGGGTTTTTAAAAAGGTTGCAACATGTCAGTTGCACTACACAAAATCTAGAGGTCAGATTTCTAGAGGAGTGATTTTCAAACTTGTTTTAGCAGTAAGATCCTCTTGTTAATGAAATCTAAAACAGAACCCATAGTAGAAAGTAGATCAGACAGGGCTCCTCCCACTGAAGCAGGGAGACGAGCCACTCAGCTCCCCCTTGCCCACCCACAACAATTACTGAGGCACCTTCTGAAACGTGAGCGTTTTAGAAGGTACTTGAAAAATGCTGACAGAACATAGGTAAGAACCTGTCAGAAAGTAAGAAAGGGCCATGGCTCATCAGAATCACTGTCTTGAACCCTAAGGTCATCACTCAGTGCCTATTGACTCTTGACTTAAGCACAGTTTTAGAATGCTTGCCTTTCTGATTTTTCAACCCAAGATATATTTGAAAAAGAAAATTACAATATGAAGAAGGGAGAGGGGATAACGAGAAGCAAACATGCTGAGAGCCGCAAAAATAGTTGCTACCAGACCACAAAGGTAGTCAGGAGAAGAAGACCAAAAAAAGGGCACAAAAGTTCTAAAAGCACTCCAGTCTAGGAAGAATTTAGGATAAGGACGATAAATCCCATTACCAGATTTCAACTGAGATCAGTAATTTAGAGTTAGTAGCATAGACTTATATTTCTTATCCAGAAAACTCAATTACATGAAGAAGCTTTCTCTGAAGGAACCAGATAAATGAAACAGCAGTACTATGTTTCTCATTTTTCCTTTTCTGTGTAAAACTTTAAACTCTGTGTGTTATACACCTATATATTATACATGAGAAAGGATAAATCTCAGACCTGAATAAACCTCAGATCTATCAGAAGTATACATTTCTTGATTTTCTGTAACTCATTTGAATTTCTGACTCTGGTCCACATACACCAGGCTGGGGGAAATTTTTAACCTCAGACCTTTGTGAGATTTCCTCAGCCCGGAGCTCTGCCACATTTCTGAGGTTTTACATAGTGCCAAGCATCAGTCATCCCTGGCTAGAAGATCCCTTCAAATCCAGAGGTCTTTGCTGCTTCTGTGCCATTCTTCAGGTTCTGGAACCTTTGGTGAAGATACCCATGGCCCATCCTCCTGGATGCATGCACAGCTGTTTTCTCTTGCAGTTTTAACTGCTTCCCTAGGGATGTTGCTGGCAACAGGATCCCTTTCCTCTTGGCACCCACAGACTTCTCTTCTTTTTTCTGACAGATTAGCAATCTTCCAGTTGGCAGAAACCCTCTTCCTGTCATGTTCCTTTATGCTCCCCTGTCTTTGCCTTCGAATCTCCTTCTCTGTGTTGTCTGTTTCCCTTCCTAGTAGGTGCTGTCTTCCTACTCACTACTTGAGGGCAGAGAAGTGGCTTAGAAATCTTCATGGGGTTTTTTTCCATATTTTAAAATTATTTTTATTTATTTATTTTTCTTCTTTATTTTAGATTCAGGGGGTACACATGCATGGTCGTTACATGGACATACTGTGGAGTGGTGGGGATTGGGTCTCAGGTGGCCCATTCCCCAGATAGTGAACATTGTGGCCACAGGTAATTTCTGACCCTAACCCCCCTCCCACCTCCCCCCTTATTGGTGCCCCCAGTGTCTGTTATTTTCTGACCCTAACCCCCCTCCCACCTCCCCCCTTATTGGTGCCCCCAGTGTCTGTGATTTCCATCTTTGTGGCCATGTAGTTCCTGCATGTGAGTGAGACATGTGGAGCTTGGTTAGCTTGGTTTTCAGTTTCTGAGTCAGTTCACTTAGGGTTATGATCTCTAGCTCAATCCATGTTGCTGCAAAGGACATGTTCTCTCTCTCTCTCTCTCTCTCTCTCTCTCTCTCTCTCTCTCTCGCGTCACTTGTTGGTGGGTACTTAGGTTAGTTCCATGATTTTGCAGTTGTGAATAGTGCTGCAGTTAGCATATGAGTACAGGTATCTTTCTTCCATATTGATTTCTTTTCCCTTCAGTAGATCCCAAGTGGGGGAATTGCTTTGCTAGATCAAATAGCAATTCCGTCTTTGTTCTTTGAGAAATCTCCACGTTGTGTTCCATACAGGTTGAACTTCGGCTCTGTCAACAGTGGATGAGCATTCCCTTTTCTCTGCAACTGTGCCAACATCTGTGTTCCTAAGAATAGCCATTCTGACTCATGTGAGGTGGTATCTCATTGTGGCTTTAATTTATATTTCTCTGATAATAAGTGATGTTGAGCATTTTTTCATATGTTTGTTGGCCACTTGGGTGTCTTCATTTGAAAAATGTCTGTTCGTATCCTTTGCCCACTTTTCATTCGGGTTATTTGTTTTTTTCTTATTGAGTTATATGAGTTCCTTGTAGATTGTGGATATTAACACTTTGTCTGAGGCATACTTTGCAATTGTTTTTCCCCATTCACTCTGTTGGTTATTTCTTTTGCTGTACAGAAGCTATTTAGTTTCATTAAACCCTATTTGTCTATTTTAGTTTTTGTTGCAGTTGCTTCAGGAGCTGTTATACATTCTTTGCCTTGGCCAATGTCCAGAAGAGTGTTTCCTAGGTTTTCTTCTAGGATTTTTATAATTTCATTTCATTTATGTCTTTAGTCCTTCTTCAGTTAATTTTTATAAATGGTGAGAGAATGGTACCCAATTTCATTCTTCTGCATATAGCTAACCGATTTTCACAGCACATTTATGAATAGGGTGTCCTTTCCCCACTGTTTATTTTTGTTGGTTTTGTTAAAGATCAATTGGTTTTAGGAATATGGTTTTATTAGTTCTCTATTTTGTTCCATAGGCCAATCTGTCTAATCTTGTATCACTACCATGCTGTTTTAGTTACTATAGTCTTAAAGTATAATTTGAAGTCAGGTAGTGTGGTACCTCTGCAGTTGTTCTTTTTGCTTAGAATTGCTTTGGCTACTTGAGCTATTTTTTGGTTCCATATCAACTTTAAGATTGCTTTTTCTAGTACTGTGAAGAACAAAGTTGGTATTTTGATCAAGATTGCATTGAATCTGTAGATTGCTTTGGCATTGTGGTCATTTTAACAATATTTATTCTTCTAATCCATGAACATGGGATGTTTTTCCATTTGTTTGGGTTGTCTATGATTTCTTTCATTACAACAAACTGGAAAACCTAGAGGAAGTGAATAAATTCCTAGAAACATACAGCCTCCCAAGTCTGAAACAAGAAGAAATAGATACCCTGAATAATGGTCAATAATGAGCAATACATTTGAATCAGTAAGGTATTCAACAACAAAAAAGCCCAGGGCCAGATGGATTCATGGCCAAATTTTATCACACATACAACGAAGAGCTGGTACCAATCCTATTGAAACTGTTCAGAACATCAAGGCGAGGTACTCCTCCCTAACTCATTCTGTGAAACTAATATCTCTCTGATATCAAAACTTAGCAAAGACACAATGAAAAAAGAAAACTCCAGGCCTGTTTCCCTGATGAATACAGATGCTAAAATCCTTAACAAAATACCAGCAAACCAAATTAAACAGCATATCAACAAAAAAAAATTTTTTTTTTTTTTTTTTAGTTAGAGTCTCACTCTGTTGCCCAGACTGGAGTGCAGTGGCCACTTCCAGCCACCCCAGCCTCGACCTGCTGGGCTCCGGCGATCCTCCGGCGATCCTTCCGCCTCAGCCTTCCGAGTAGCTGGAATTACAGGCATGCGCTACCGCCAGCTGATTTTTTGATTTATTGTAGAGATGAGGTCTTGCTGCCCAGGCGGATCTTGAACCCGCGGGCTCAGGCAATCCACTCACCTCAGCCTCCCAAAGGCACAGGATTACAGGCTGAGCCACCGAGCCCGGCTCATATCAACAAAATTATTTATCACTACCATGTGGGTTTTATTCCACGGATACAAGGATAGTTCAATATCCACAAATCAGTAAGTGTGATCTCACATAAACAGAAGCAAAAATAAACATCATGATTGTCTCAATAGATGCAGAAAAGGCCTTTGAAAAATCTAACATCCCTTCATAATGAAAACTCTCAACAAACTGGGCGTTGAAGGTACACATCTCAAAATAATAACAGCCATATACAGCACACCCATAGCTTCCATCATACTTAACCGGGAAAAGTTGAAAACATTCTCCCTTAAAACAGGAATAAGACAGGGATGTCAATTCTTACCACTGTTACTCAGCAGCATACTAGAAGCCCTAGCAAGAGCAATCCAGCAAGAGAAATAAATAAAAGGTATCTAAATTGGTAAGGAGGAAGTCAACTATTCCCTGTTTGCATATGACATGATTGTATGCCTAGAAAGCCTGAAAGACTCCTCCAGGAAACAATGACTTCAGTAAAGTCTCAGAGTACAAAATCAATGTACAAAAATCTGTACTATTCCAACAATACTTAAGCTGAGAACCAAATCAAGAGCTCAGTCCCATTCCCACTCGTAACACACACACACACACACACACACACACACACACACACACACACAAACCTACGAACACACCCAACTCAGGAAGTGAAAGATCTCTACAAAGAGAACTACAAAACACTTAGGAGATCTTCATGACTTTTATAACACCGTGTGCATTGGAGGTTTAAATGCAGGATCCACAAGCATTTGGCCTAGTTAACCTTCGTTAAAATTAAAGAGAAAGAGATCTCCGACAGAAAGATCTGACTTGGGGAGTGTTTCATCTAGGCCTTCCCTTGAGAATCTGTTCCATATAGCATTGGATTTGTTTTAGTATAGTATTCTTCGTGGCCTGAGATGCTGCTTCTTAATAGTCTTAATTTCCTATCTAAATGGCTTTCCTAAACAGATCACTTTTTTTTACATTTACTGGTTTATATATGGTTATATATGGTTATTATAAAGGCAATTGTAAAGGATCTAGATGAAGACATGAGTAGGGCAAGGTACAGGAGAAGAGGTGCAGAGCTTCCATGCCCTCCCTGGGCATGCT